TCAATCTATAGAATAAGATAGTTGTACGTAAGGTCACTGTGTCTCTGTGTAGTGGCTATACCACCAGAGAGAACAGGATCAGGATTATAGTGGGTTGAGTTCTTTCAATGATTTCAGTAGGATGGATCATTGGATTAGATTTTTTTTTTACAAAATTATTTTAAATTATAGATAAGCTATAGTTTAGGTTTTTCATTTTATTGTATTGATTGTATATATTTATGTTCTTGTTTTGTTTTATTTTATTTTAGGAACATTTAATAATACGTTCTTTTGTAAACATTTTATATATTTTTTATTGTACTTTGTTTTTTTGTATTTATTATTTTTCTTTCATTGATTATAATAAAAGATTTAATATTGAAATTTAAATTCTTTTTTTTTTATTTACTTTCCAATAAAAACTGATTGAGAAATAACAATGAAAGATAGATTGAAATGAATTGCATTTGTACTATTTATTTAAGATTTGACTGATTTCTTCAAGAAAGAAATACTATTCAATTGAAAGATGTCTATTGTTAAATCAAGTTTTGAAGAAATAAATAAAAAATTTAATATACCAAAAATAAAACGTGATCCATCAAAAAGACAAGATAATCAAGGACAGTATCCGACAATTACAATTATTCGTGATTCTCCTATTCGAACAATTTATCGAGATTTTGTTAAATTATTTTCAAATGGACGTCGATTAGTAAATACTGAAGCAGCTGCACAACACGGAGAATTTAAAGGAGTTGAAAGTAATTCTTATATGATAGAAGTATTTATTTGTTCGATTTATTTTAATTTAAGTGAAATACGTTTAAAACAAGGTGGATCACGTCGTACAGTATCATACAAAGATATTCGTGAATATTTTTGTAAAACATCATCAACTCGACTGATCTATATTCATTTGCCAACTGTATGTGATCGATCTGCTTGTGAAAATATTAATTATATTAATGAGCTCAAGGATTGTAATAAAATTCATGCCGTTATTTATTCAGCTTATCATAATGATTTAAATTTGTAAGTTAAACTTATTTTCTCTTATTTGAAATCAGAATATAAATATCTTCTTAATTTTCTAGTTCTAAATTAGTCAATAATGAATTATCATTTGAACCATTGTTTCAAAATTATAAAACAGATTTCAATTTGGTTACTCAATCTATCAAACAACTATGTCGACAGAAAAAAGATTATCATCAACAATATATTTGGATGAGTCCCTATCCACCAAATTTTAATTTAACCAAGGAACAACAACAACAATTTGATACTATTTTTAATTGTAGCCATCAAATCGTAAATGAATATGGTTTTCATTGATTTACGAAAATTATTTTGGGATCAGACTCATCATGATTTATTATTGCCAAATTCACATCATTTTTCACCACAATGTGTTCGATTATTTACTCAATTTCTTTCACAAATTATTGAAAACAAATGGGATCGACCAATAAAACACCCTCAAATAAAGACAGTACATAAAATGATGAGATTAAATAATAAATTATAAATAATAAAAAATATCTTCTTTCTTTTGTTTGATTTTAATCATTTTTATTCTTTCTATTGTCAAATCAACTAGTTCTTTATTATAGATTAATCATGGCAAAACAGACGATAACTTGTCCATTATGTCAACAACTTATTGATTTAAATTCAAATGATGGAGTTGTAGAATATATATGCGGTCATATGGAACATGAACTTTGTTATTTTGCATATCATCCATCTAATTATCAATGTTCTACTTGTAATATAATTTCAAAAGAACTTTATTTTATATAATCGTTGTATATTTTTATCATCTTTTTATTTGAATAAAATTAGAAAGGCAAATATATAGGTTTTCATCTTTTAGATAATTAAATTTTTGTTCAATTATGGCTCATCCCTATAAATGTACTTTTTGTCATCAAACAGTTATTACCAATGATGATAATAGCAATGTGCCGAAATATCATGGGTTTTATACTACGGATGAAGTATTGGTTCAATCATCTATTTAACTTTGTTTTTTTTTTTTACTTTTGCTTTTATTCTTGTTTTTGTTTTTCTCAAACAAATATAATAATATTAGATATGGATTATAATATATTCTAAGCTGAAATATTTCATTTCATTTCATTTTTTGAATTAGATTGTTTTCTTGTCTTTGAACAAATTTACGAATTAAACCATGATTGGAATCTACATTATTTTTTCAATTTGTGTCTTAACTGATGGATTTTTCTTTCGTTCTAAAGTTCAGACAACAACTAAATTAACAACTAAAATTCCAATTCTTAATCGTACAACAGAATGTCGTCAACAAATGACATTACAACAAATTAAAGAACTTTTAAAAGAACATCCACGTGCATTCATCAATAATAATGAAAGTATTCGTTCACGTACTCGACGTGATATCAATCCAGAAAATGTTGATATAAAAGCAATTCATTCAACTGTTAATCAACATCGTACTATCATCAATTATTCAATTAATAATTCAATCAATACAACAGTGTTAAGTGATGCTATTGTTAATCATCATAAAACTACTGGACCTATATTACCTAGTTGGCGAGATTTATTTCAAATGTTATTTATAATTTCTTTCGGTGGTATTCTTATATATTTTTTAATTTGTCGGACAGGTCTCTTTCCTAAAAAATATTGTGTATCAATTTTTTCAAATTGTGTTGCATCACAAATTAAAAATGAATTAGAAGACCGACCTCAACAAGCCGTAATACAACAAGAACAACGTCAACAAGATTTTAAACGAGAGCAAGAACAGATGCAACAATTAATGAAACAAATGATTGAACAACGGAAAATAAATAAAGCAAAATCAAGTCATCGAATAAAAGCGAGTCAATACTCGATCAACCCAGATTCCAATGAATTTAATCAATACAATACTGGATATTTGACGGATTAATCAAGTCATATTTATAAACAGATTGAACTTAATTTTCATTTTATTCTAATTATTTAATCATTTTTCAAAAATTTAGAGCGTTCTATCTTTATTGCTTCTACTATAAAATCATTTAATAGATTTCATTTTAAATTTCTATTGAGTATTCTTTTATTTCTAGATTAAAATAGTAAGTCATGGTTTCGTTCATGTGTTTATTATTAGTTTTTCATATATTCTTTTCAAGTGTTATCAAAAAAACAAAATAATTCAAATGAATTACCTCAATTTACACCTATAATTAAATATGAAACATTTTTAATTAATCGAACAACAGATTTACATCTTCTTCATAATTTAATTTATCGAGCACAACAAACAAAAACTTTTACTATTGATACAGAATCAGATTTATCTACAAATCGACCATCTTTAATACAAATTGAATATATAGATCAATATCAATCAGTCATTATTTTAGTTGAAGTAAGTCGTTTACCATTTCATAAGAAATCTTTACGATTTTGGCTCATATATTCAATATTTAAATATATATTTCAACCAAATAAAAAAATATTTTGTTGGGGTTCTGCTCTGAAAGAATTATCTCAATTTATTGAATATGATTTATTTACTAGTGAGATATTAGATCAATCAATTTTCATTAATCTTCAAGATCGATTTAAAATATGGCACTATGAACAATATGGTTATTATCAAACAGGCAAAAATTTATGGGGTTTACAAGCAGCTATTAAAGATACATATGAACAATATTTAGATAAAAGTGAACGATTGAATATTTGGAGTCGAGGTCTACATCATCGAGAAATTACAAAAACTGAAAATAAAATACAAACTATGATAGAATATGCTACTAATGATTGTTTAGCCGTTACAAAATTAGCTTATACTATGAAAGAATTTCTTGTAAGTATATCAATAAAAATTTCATTTTAAAATTAAGGATTTCTTTTTGCCTATTTTTAGTTTGATATTTAAACAACTTTTTCAAAGATTTCCTTTTTTTGTTTCGTTTTTAAATAAAGCTTTTATTAAAATTCTAAATGTTTCAGATTATATCTATATTTATTTACAATAAAAATGTCTTCATCAACTCGATCCATTGCTACACAAACAATAGATTTAGAATTAGAAACACAAACTATTGAAACAATAAAATCAACAATTATTGATGTTGAAGATGATGATTCAAAACGTTTACAAAATCGTACAATTTTCAGTCAATCTTTTATTCATCTACCAGATATTTATTATACAAGAATGGTACAAGTTGGTATGCTTGAACCATTTATGAAACTAATTATGAATGTGAATCATGAACAAGATGAAAAAAAGAAGAAAATCAATGAGACATTGCAAGAATATCGACAAATATATAAAAAGAGAAAAATGGAAAGTTCTATAACAATTTTGGATAATAAGGATACAGATCAACTGGATCTTTGTTCAATATAAAATAATTTTTTGTTTATTCTATAGTTGCATGTATTACTTATTACAATCTTGTTTTTGTTTTCAATAAATAATAAGTCATTTTAATTATTCTAGATTGAATAATGTCTCATCGATATTTTCAACGTTATCCTTCACTTATCTTAATCTCGGATGATGAAGATGATGATAATCATCGTAAAAATTTTATGGATACACAATTTTCAACACCCATGTCTATTGAAACAAATAAAACAAATGATCTTCAATTAATGTTACCACTCTCAACACCTCCACGTTCAACTCTTCGAAAAGATACAACAATGGCAACAAGCGAAAGAAAAGAAACTGAATTAATTGATTTCATTACACCAGATAAATCAATTAATAATATTTATCAATCAAATTATAAGCCACGTACATTACATTTTCACAATCAACAACGCCTATCTATTTTACCAACATATCCTATCATGGATATGAATTATAGTTCTAATTTATTATTGCTAAATATATCACCAACTCAATTATCACAACAAGAATTATTACGTCGTCAAACGGGTACATATAAACCATTATTTTCAATAACAAATTCTAATACATCAACAATATCATTTATGGTTAAACAATATAACACTTATTTTGTACCAACACTTGATCATTTGAAAGTTGATCTTTCAATTTTAGATCATAATTATACACGTTTATTACATGTTATTGAATTATCGCGTTTAGCACGATTTCGTACAATTGGTTCAAATAAACAATCCTATGAAATAGAATTAAATTTAAAAGAAAATGAATAATGTGTGAAGAGTAGGCAATGATTCTTGTAGTACATTCTTTTTAGGGAAATTTATTCCAGCGCGCTATATATCGCCGTTCAAGAGATCACCTATTTGAAATTAATTTGTTAAGAATCCATTACTCATCACTGAAGCGGTGAATGCTTTGGAGCAAAATTAACAGATGATTGTTAGGATAGTATTTACAAAGAAAATGATTCGATCGAATCCTTGTTCATGGTCCAAGAGTTCAATGATTTGCTTATTTTATTTGCGCAATATATATATAGAGAGAGAGAGAATGTGAAGATATGCGAAGAAATGCCTTTGTGTTAATTGCATCATAGCATATTTGTACGTTTTCCTTTCGAATAGATTCTCGTAATGGAGACGCTCAAGTATGAAGGAAAAATGGAATGGCATGGCGTAGGTGGTGTTTTGGTGCCGTTATCATTTTGCCCAATTAATGCATAATGACGAAACAATGCTATTTGCACTCTCTCTCGGTCTTGCCCTTGTCTCTCTATATATATGCTTGTTTTTTCCTTTCAAGCTTCATTTTCATCGGGACATTATAATAGGTAAGATTCCGTATTTGGTTTTACGTGCATTGCATGGATTTAGAATCCTAAATTGTTTAATTATATTTTGATTATAGATATCCATCCGTCGAAGAAGCATTGAGCCTATAATAATATAAGTTTCTTTTAACAATTCCCGTATGATTTATTTCGTTCATTTGTTTTTTTGTTTCTAGTCTGGTGTCGACTTAAATTTTGCTTGTGTTGTGTTAATAATGATGAGACAATTTATATTAGGATTATTATTATGTGTGTCGAATTCAATTGCGAAGTCTACAATTACAAAGCCAAATATCTTTCACAGGTCTGATTAGGTTTTAGGTAGGGTTTTTCCTCAGATTTATCCCTTATAGTTACACAAATTATCTTTCACTATTCTCGGATGTAGCTGATATGTATGAAAAATAAAATGCAATATTAAAATTTGAGTACAAGGTTTCTTAGACTCCTTCATTTGTTTTTCTTTAATTCTTTGTGATCGCTGTGTTGATATTGAATGATATCAACGTGCCTTACGGAAGATATAGCCCAGTGGATGTAGAAGTTCTTCCGGCCTTGAGCGATTACTCTCTTCTGTCCCTTTTCCTCAGGGGTATAAGTTTTGTCGAATCGATATTGTATGAATATCGTCAGTGACGATTCTTTCATAGAATAGGATAGTTTTGCGTAAGGTCACTGTGGCTGTCTGTAGTGGCTATCCCACCAGGCAGATCAGGATCAGGTTTTAGTGGATGAGCTTTTTCAATTGTCTCAGTAGAGATGAATAATGAGCTTTTGTTTTTTCTGGACAAACAAACAAGCAAAGAAAAGGGAAAGGACAAAAATCTAAAATAATAGTTAAGGTATAGATTAAGTTTTTAATTATTAAGTGTGTATATCTTATCTGTTATTGTTTTAATGTTGTTTTGACGTTTTTGTCATTATCGTATTTAATATGACTCAATGTCTATTTCGATTTGTTATAGCTGCCATTGTGTATTTCTTTTTTTTTTGTTTTTGGTTTATCTATGTTTTCTTCATAATAACTTTATGTTGTGTTGTTGTTTCTCTCTAAAATAGAAACTTTGAAACGGTTCGCTTTATATTAGCCATGACAGTCATCAACAAAGGCTCAATCTTGATTCAGACGAACACTCTTATCTCACATGCCATGCATCTATACATTTCCTGCTTCATTCGAGTGATGTTCAACGGATTTCACACAAGTTTGGAACAAATCGAGAAATGTATCAACAGAAATAAGGGTAGTCAATATAAAGTCTTGAGATTTGCTCAAGTTATCTATTTCTACAGAGCTGTGGTATAGTTCAGGCAACAATGTACAATCCTTATTAATCTTGACTGGTTTTCTCGAATAACTAACTTTTACAGTATTCACCTTCATATATGACTCACTATAGAAGACAAAATATTGATCATCATCTCCTAGTGCTTCTTCATAGTGTGATCGTCCAATTGATCATTCTATCCAATAGACAGCTCACAGTAGAGATATTAATTATAAATTAAATCCATTTTGTTTTTTCATAGGTATTTATTAATGATTCCTGTTTATTATGTTCAATATTGCAGCATCCTATTTAATCAAACAACATTTATGTAAGAGTTTGTTTTTCATAATTTTTGTATAATTATTTCTCATTATTTTGTTCTTATTTTCTTTTATATTGCTACCGTCTTGCAATGTCAAACAAACATGTTCAATGGCCACTAATATTTGAACTAAACAGATTTTTTAAAATTTTTTTATTGCTTTATACTTTTCATTTTGTTTTTGTTTCTTGTTTCTTTGATTTAAAACAAATACTGGCATTTGACACCAATTCAAAGTTTTTTATTCTAGCAAATAAGACAAGAAAACAATAGTTTTTGATTTTGGTTAATCTGTTATTTGGTTATTTTAATAAAATTGTCTATTTAAAATTTGTTTCTATTATCAGATTTAAAAATGAAAGCAAAAAGTACAACGACATCTTATCAATTATTGAACAGGCAATTTAAAATTCCCAGAATTAAACGTATTACAAACACGGTCAAGAAAGAATCGAAAAAATATCCGGATGTAACAATTACACAATCGGACATTTTTCGAATGTTTTTCAAATTAACAATACTATTTATTGGTGACTCTTCTATTCGAACAATATATCGAGATTTCGTCAGATTATTCTCCAATGGTCGCTTATTAGAAATCACCGAAGCAGCAATGCAAAACGGTGAATTTAAAGAAGCAGAAGGTAATCTTGCTTTGTTGCCTATAAATATATTTGAATGAAACGAAATAAATTTGTTTTTTGAGGTGAAAGACGTTTACAAAAAGATGGTAAACGAGGCAATCCTAATTACAAAGATATTCGTGAATATTTTTGTGAAGCATCGTCCACACGATTGATATATATACATTTACCCACGGTACATGGACCATCAGCTACGGAAAATCTAAATTATTTACAAGAATCAATAGACTGTGAATATATTCATGCAATTGTCTTCTCATCTTACCACAGTGACATGAATTTGTAAGTTATTCCATTGTTTTTTTTTGTTTCTTTGAAACATTGATTTTTCTTTTGTTCCAGCGCAAAATTGAAAAAAAACAAATTACCATTTGAAACTATTCTAGAAAATTATAATAATAGTTTAAATGACATATGTCTTCGTTTAATGGAAATTTGCAGAGCTAAGAAAGATCGTCATCAACAATATATTTGGATGGGAGCTCATCCACCCAATTTCACCTTCACTGATAAACAACAATATCAATTTAATGAGATACTCAATAGTACAAATCAAATAGTCAATGAGCACGGTTTTCATACATTCAATCGTAAGCACTTTTGGGATATAACCCATAATGATTTACTAATGCGCGAATCTCATTATTTTTCTCCTAAAGGTAAATTCTCTAACCTTCTTTGTCTAACTATACATGTTTTATAATCTCCTTGTTTTTCCTTAAAAAAAAAACAACAACAACAATAGGTATCCGATTAATTACTCAATTACTTTCCAACATTATCGGAAAGAAATGGAGCGAACCGTTACTCGTTCCAGAAACAACAACAAAAAAACAAACAAACCCCAAAGAACACGGATTAAACAAGTCTCAGCCTACCCCCACCAAAAAACTCAAAATACCCAAGTCAACCTTACCTAGAAACCGTTACAATCCAATGAAGCGTAATAAAAACTAACTATTTTTTCCAATAGACTTCAATTTTTCTTTTGCTTTTCTTTTCATTTTTCTTTTCTCTATTTTTAAAAATTGGCAATAATATATTAAAATTCGATCATCATACAATTCTATTACTTATACAATAATATATTTTCTTTTTTTTTCTAGATTCTATCATTTCAAATAAACTATTTCTGATACCTAACAAACAATTGCCCATTTCGTGATATGTCTTGTATGCCATCATTTCATCCACGAACACACCAATGATGGGTTTCTTCAATTTAAATGTGACCAATCGGAACATGAAATATGTTACTTTCACCAATATCTTCACAATTATATATATCTTGAGTAGAGAGTCGTTTTCTCGGACAAACTATATTTCAAGTAAAGTTTCAAATGTTCCTTTTTGTTCTGATTCAATCTGAAACAAAAGCAAAAAGTCTTTGATTGGACAACTGTTTTCTTTCATTTTAACGTTATCTTTCTAGATTTTACCGTACATCTATCACCAGCTCTTTTATACGATATTCTTCAATTATGGCAGGTCCAATTGTTTGTTCAATATGCCGTAACATTGTTGATACCCGTAATGATAATAGAAACTTTGTTCAATATATGTGTGGACACTATGTTCATGGAGCATGTTTTTGTATTTGGAATCAATATAATTATAGAATATGTCATCAATGTAATAAAATTTCATGGGTCATTTTTCATGAGTGCGTTCACTGTAAATACAACTCAAAATCTATTGAACAAACCCTCCCCTAATCTATATTTTACTTTTTATTTTTAAAGGTGATACATTATTATGAACTTTTTATATGCACTATAACATAAAATATATACAGTTTGCATGATTTTCATTTTTTTTCTGCTTAACTCTCTTTTATCTAATTTCATTTTCTTGTCGATTCGATCTTTGTTTGTTTCTTTTTTAGAGGATATCTCTATTTCAGTATACAATGCCGTTTTACAGTGATGAATATTTAAATTATTTGTTGACACCGATTCAGCTTGATAATTATGGAGCAGTGATAGGTTTCAATGGAGTGAAATATTGGTATTACTATTCAAATTTTTTCGCCTAATTCTGTTGTTGTTTTTTTAGCTCTGCGAATAGGGATTGCAAGTGTAAGACTTGCAGAACACCATATTGGCGATACAATCGAATGTTATCTTGCTCATTGTATTCAATTATTACTAAATCATATGAATTCAATATGGAAGATATGACTTCTTATGAAAACGGCATCATTTATGATTTTTCTCATGATCATGATGGGTTTCTTCGCTACTGCTTTAATTTATGTTCTTTCGGTGGCGAGTATGGTCGGTTCGTCTATAATCAATTGCAACGGGGATCATTTGATAAACGTCATTGTGATGGTGCTTAATTAACATAATTATTTTTCGTTTTTTATTTTTTCTGTTTTTTGTTTCTTTTCATTTCCCGTCTTTCATTCTAGATAAAATAGTATAGGTCATCAACGACCAATAACCATAAATATAAGTAAATATGCCGACGATGAACTACAAAAATTATTATATGGTAATGTCTTTCGCCATCATTAATGTTAATACTAATGACAAAATCGAATCCAAGCAAGCAAGCAAAATATAAAAGAAGTACCAAATCTATTTGTTTTGCTTTGTACCAAATAAAAGATATAGAAAGAGAGTTCTTTTGTCTTTACTTACTTATTCAAATTTTTCTTTTCTCTGGTAATAATGAATATTTCTGAACAAATACAAAGTGGTCAATCACAAACCTTCTAAGAATTTTATTTTCTATTATATTTTAGATAGTCATCTGTTTCATTATTCACACTGTGCTTGTTTTCTAGATATTTTCTTCTTGTTTCAATAATTAAAATAAAATGCCTTTTATTAAAAGCAAATCACAGCATGATCAACAACATGAATTAAACCATACTTTAAGTGTTCTTCCCGTTTTTACACCATTAAATCATTATCGTTACTATCACGTAAATGGTTCAACATCGACTATGTTATTACACAGTCTTATAGCATTTGCTAGAAAAACAACTCGATATAGTATTGATACTGAAAGTGATTGTATTACACGTAAGCCTTCACTTATCCAAATAGAGTTTATCCAAGATGAATCAGTTGTTTTATTATTTGAAGTACACCATTTACCACATAAATTATCTATATCATTCTGGCTAATAAAATCTCTGTTTAAAATAATCTTAAATCCAAAAAATATGATATTTTCATGGGGTAATGCAAAAGACGAACTAACTAATTTTCTTTCATTCGGTCTATTTTCATCAGCAGCTATTTATGACATGGATGATTTTAATATACAGAATCGCTTTCAAAAGTGGTATAAAGAAAATTTTAAAATAAAAACTGTTCATCCATCACCTGTTATTCACGAAATAATAAGTACATACGGAAATAAATCACTTAAACGTTCGAATTTTAAATGGTCGCTTCAGATGGCTATAGCTTATACATTCAACGAATTTCATGATAAAAGCAAAAGAATGAACAATTGGAGTCGTTCACTTGATTTGAGAAATTTGTATATCCCATCTGTAGTAACTACACAAGAAAAAAAAGAGATCGAACACATGATACAATATACTATAGATGATTGCTTAACAGTTACTAAACTAGTAACTGTATTAAAACTCGATTATCGAAAAGAACCATTCGAAAAGAATTATTTTTTTTTCGATGATATTGATGCCGATGGTTATGATATTTTATCTTAAGTAAGTAACAGTAGTGATTCATGTTATTTTTTTTCAAATTTGTTTTTATTGTCTATTCCAGATGAAAAAATAAACTATTATGAATTACAACAATAAACTCTATTTAATCTTGCAATTTTTTTTCATATTTCTTTTTGTTTTTCAAAATATGTGAATACGAAAAAAATGTAATAAAATCAATATGTACTCGTTCATTTCATTATCATTCTAAAATTGCTGTCTTCACAATTCAAATTCGATCACTTATCTATTTCTCTTAATTCTAGATATCATAGAACAATGATTCACCTTTCTCAGAAGCTATATTCGGCGGGTCGTAATAGCAAGTTAAAATATGATTCAATGAGTAACAACAATGTTAACTATGATATAATTTGTCGATGTGATTTATTTCAAATGACGTTTCAGAGCATTGTGGTGAATTATACTGAAAAAGAATCAAATGTTGCAATAGATCAGGTAATGTTATATTGAACACGACTCCGTCAAAATTCAATGATTCTATATATTTTCAATATATGTGCTGAAAGATCAAGATTCAAACAAATTCATAAGAGTTTAAATTTCTTCACTTATTTCTTTTTTGTCTGACTATTTTTTAAATGAGAGGAATAAAACGATTTGCTATTGGAACTTTGTAAATAATATACTTTATTACTTCTAAAAGAAATGAAACCATGCTCAAGATCATCACTTAAAAAACAATCAAACGTATGAAAATCAATGTCACATCGGCAAACGTCAACAAAGGTAAATCAACAACTTTCCTAACAATTTGTTCGGAATATTAATAAAGGTTTCATAAATGTATCTGACCAATCAAAAACATTAAACTCGCCGTCATCGAATAAAGTACGTTCTTAGTTATTGATCATTTGAAATGAAGATATATATACTGTTTCATTTGTATGCATTAGATCGAACCAGGTTCAAATGCTAGCAGCATTACTATTGTACAAAAGTATCAGACTACACAAACGATTGAACAGAAAATAATCAATCCAGTTGAACTGAATATGGAAATTCAAATCGCTCAAAACAAAAGTACTACATTCGAGATGAAATCAAAAGCAGATGTCAAATATAACATAAGTTATTTAAAAGGAATAACAACTCATTCTATGTTATTAGAGACGAAAAAACTTACAATAATTCGTAGTTTAAAATGATTTTAAAAAGTTATCCATCAAATAAGTATCAAAAGAACTTTTTTCACTTGCATGATATATCAGCGATAATTTCAGTTGCATGTTTCTTTTTCTTAATTTTTGAATCATTTGTTTTTTCATTGTTTCTTATATGTTTTCTCGAAGAAATCAATTTAATCCCATCAAATATATAATAACTCAGCGTAACTAAACACATACTGCATTAGTCGTCGACACGAAAAACAACAAGAGAAGCCTCAAAAATAAAAATTAAATAAAATAAAATAAAAAATAAGAATAAAAATCTATCGATGGTACCAAACTCATTGTAACATATTGGTAGACATTAAATCTGATTGATTACAATTAGGTTTATATTATCATAAATATTCTGGAGTAGTGTCACATATCCAAGATTTTGGAGATGCCACCGCATCTCCAGCAGGAGACGCGGCACCCACACTCAGGAGATGAGGTCATTCACCACTGGAGATGTAAGATCTCCTTTAGAGAGACGCATCCCCCACACCCACACTCGCATCTCTCGCGTGAGATGCGGCATCTCCCGCAGGAGATGTGGTGGCATCTCCAAAATCTTGGATATCTGACACTGCTGATATTCTGATACACATTTGTATAAGCCACCTGATGATTCTTTTCATTTACTCCAATGACAAGGCAATTGTAGTGGTTATTTATTTACCCCACATTCACATCCATCGAGGCTAATAATATAAAAGAAAACAAAGAAATAAACAACAAGAATTAATCACTCACCATTCTTGTTATTATACAGACTCCCTTCATTCCATAAATCAAAATTGTTTTATAATTCTAGTTTTATCTGGTAATATAAGAATTGAAACGATACAAATTTGTATTAATCTCTTGTTGATCTATTCTCTTAATAGCAATTAAACTCTACAACATACAATTGCATCATTGACTCCACAACCTAAATCATAATACGAAAACATAAGTGCATATTAAAGTACCATTTGTTTCTACTCATTCCCTCTCTCTCTCTCGCTCCCTCACAAATAAATAGCAAAATCTAGCACGTAACAAAAACAAACTTGTTTATTACGCATATGAAATTGCAAACAGACATGTATTTTATCAAATTATGTATATACTCCTTCTGCATAGCTGTATATTTGCACGCCACTCTCTCTCTCCCCCTTTCTAAGTCATATATTACACACAACTAAAAAATGCTCGATACAACTATTTTTTTTTTCTATGGAAAAGCACATATTTTGACCTTTGGGCCCACATCACCACTGAAATTGCAATTTTCCCACTGATAACAGTGTGTTTTTCATGCATACATTGCTATTTTTTCTCTCTCTCTCTCTCTCTCTCGTTGCGAACGAGCCCTATATAAATCCATTGCATTGGCATTATTCTCATTCATATTTTCAAGAGCATCTTCAAACAATATACTATTGAGTAAGTATAACTCTCATTATATTCCTTACTTTAAATGAATTTCTCTATATTACTATATATTAGAATATACTTCTTCATTTTCAATGTTTCTTTCTTTCTAAATTTTATGTTTGTATTCTTTATTATAATTAAGGTTTCGTCGTCAGTAATTTTCAATAGTTGTTCGCCTTTATTCTAGTGAGTATATCCATTTTAGATTTCATCACTTAATTTCTTGACAAAGCGATCGTAGATAACTTTAGTATGATAAATAAGATCAACTATTTGAAATGTATTATAGGTCAACCAGATGTTCAATTGGATTATGTGAACGCATCGATGTGACAACAATCTTGGAAATTTACTTTAATATCAAATTGGCTCGAATACAAAACAAAAACAGGCCTGTTTACGTTTAGTTATGATATTTCACTCAGACTTTAATCCTTCGAATTTGAAAAATAAAAATGAATATTGTATCTTTTATGGGATATATCAAAATTTAACTAAAGGGTTTCTTAGATTCCATTTTTTCTTCTTTAATTCTTTGTAATCGCTGTGCCGATTTTTGCAAAAACAATCGACATGCTATAAGGAAGGTACGGCCCAGTGAGATTTCCAATATTTATGTATTTTCTCTTCTTTCTTTGTAATACTAATAATTTCTCTTTAAATATATGTTAAATTTTCTCGGTTAGTATTAATATACATTTGTAAACCATGAAAGTATATTGTTTGCCAAAAATAAAGAAATTTATTTATATATGTTCAATTATTTTCATGTGTTTCTATTTCTAGATTAAATAAGTTTCGAAAATGTCATTTGAATTATTGAATCATAGTTTGAAAATTACAAAGTTTAAACATGATTTAACACATACAATTACAAATGAATTCAAAAACATTCGTCAGTATTGTTGTGAAATTCCATCAATAAGCTTAATTTATATAAACTTGTCAACAATAATGGATTGTACCTATATGAATGAAATTGTTTTATTATCGTAGTGTATCGATTTAAATTTAGAAGTTATTTCATCTTTCATAATCTATTATTTACACTTTTATAATGACGATTTTCATAGAATATATATTTGTCTCATGAAAATACGTAGAAGAGAGAGAGATCATTACAAATAACATATCTCCGTCTCATTATAAAATTTTTAAAATTTTGAATTAGAATCAATTTATGAACGAAATACAGTCTTACTTTCAAAAGCATGAAAATTATTTTGTCAAATTATTTATTCGTAATTTCTTATATAAACTGAAGCAGAACTTAATGTCCTTCAACTTTATCAACATCGAAGTATAGTAATTGAACAACAATTTCTGGTTTTTTCACTTTATCTATGTATTGATTGCTTTTTGACTCAATCATTTCTTTCATTCGTCATGAATAGTTATTTAGTTCTATTCGATTATTTCAGATAGTCGTCGTTTGTAACTTTATTTTTGTGATCATGGCCATCATGTTTTCGATGTTTGTCTTATTATTGATTTGTGTCTTAACAAATGGATTTTGGTTTGGTTCTCCGGCTAAAACAACCAAATTAACTACAGTGGTTCCTATTCTGAATAAAACACAAGAATGTCGTCAACAAATGACATTTCAACAAATGAAAGATATTTTACGCCAACATCCATGTGCATTCGAAAACAATATTGGAATATATCTTTCACGTACGCGACGTGATGTTGATCCAAATAAAATTGATATAAAAGCCATACATGCAACTGTCAATGATCATCGTACAATGATAAATTATTTAATTAACAATTCAGTGAATACGACTATGTTGGGTGAAGCTATTCTTGACCATCATAGCAAAGCTGGTCCAATATTGTCAAGTTGGCGAGATATATTTCACTTATTATTTATAATAATTCTCATTGGATTTGTTGTTTACTTTCTGATCTGTCGAACAGGCCTCTTTCCACAGCGATATTGTATTTCAATTTTTTCAAATTGTTTTATATCTCAAGTTAAAGATGAACTTGAACAACAACGTGAACAACTTAAACAACAACAAGAACAAGTACAACAATTAATGAAACAACTCATCGAACAACAAAAAATAATTAAAACCAAACCGATACGTCGAAAGACACAAGATCAGCAATCGATGAAATCTGATTCTGGTGAGACGATTCGCTACAATGAAGGGTATATATCAGATTAATTCGAACATATACCTATGAAATTTTTACAAACAGAACTAAATTCTATTACGTAATCAAAGTTTCTTGCATGTCAGTCATTTCTCTTTCGATACCTTTTCCTTCCATTTATTTAATCATACTACAAAAATATTGCATGTTTTCTCTTGTCCTTTTCTTCTTCTTCTTCATTTAATCTAGATATTGTTTTTCAAAAACAAAAATTTCACACAATACAATTTTAGCAACACTCAAAATTCCATCATATTTCAATAATCACTCTTATATTCGATATCTCTTTTAATTCTAGACAAACTTAATATTTCAATATTGATACTGTATTACACTCCTATACAAATAAGACAGCTTTAATACAGATCAAATTCATTCATTACGTCAGCTACATTTGGTTAACTTACAAGATCAATATACAGATCAGCACTCTACACACAATATATTATCATAGAATTCCAAAAGGCAATGATAAAAATATTATTCATGACTCATTAGACAACAAATGATTGTTTGGCTATCATGAAATTAGTTTTTTGTAAGTATATAAACAAATTTGTCCAACATAATTGCATATTTATTTTTGATTGTTTTTCTTCTCTAGTATTCGACAAACTTCGAATAAACATTGATTTTTGAATCAGATTATTAGAACTAGCCTTTATTTTATTGTATCAATAGTTTTCTTTTTGTTGAAATCTCTCTCTAGTTAAACTGAAAAGTATATATTTTTCAGATTTTATATATATCTATTTTATACTCGATTCTATAATTTCCAAATGGCTTCATCGTCTCATTTGACTCCATCTCAATCATTAGCATTCATACCAATCATTGATGTTGAACTTGATGCTGCAAAACGGGAATTCATTAAACAGTTATTCAATGACAGTTGTATACGTTTACCCGACGCTTATTTTACACGAATGGTACACGTTGGAATGGCTCATCCATTTATAAAATTAGTCATGGATGTAAATCGCGAAGAGAAACGGAGAAAGAAAATATTAAATGATACGCTGCATCAAATAGAAGCCGAATCGAGAAAAAGAAAAAATCAGAACGAAAACAATGATAATGTTGAACATAGAAGAAAATTGAAACAATATAAAAGTTCACACGAAGTTCAATCCAATGAAATGACCTATCATTATGTGCCTGTGTTTGCCGAAGAAGATCAAAAATTATTCGAAGAACTATTTCCTGATCATTCCAATCTTGGAAAGTCATCCAACAAATGAAACTAGTTTACAATTACGAATATTTCAGATAATTTTTGTCAAGTTATATTCTCTTTCTCTTTCCTATTTTGCTTTCTTTCGTTTTTATTATCAGAGTTCTTTATATAAAGTATCAATGTATTGCTTCCATTATTGTAGATTATTCTTTATTGGCCATTCGTTGTTACATTCTTAAAATGAATGATGATGATATTTTACCAAATTTCAATTTTTATGAAGCATCTATATTAACTTCAGATGAAGATGATAATGATGGTGGCAATGATAATTTAATGGAAACAAAATACTCAACACCAACAGCACAAGAAAATCGTTCCGATCAAACGCCTGCAAGAGCAACAACAACAGTAGCAACAACAAATGAATTGCAAATAACTATACCACCATCTACACCAATACGACCATCATTGATAAGACAACGGCCTACAACAACAACAACAAATATCGAACTGATTGATTTGGTTACACCAAAAAAGTCACCACAAGGTCTTCATCAACCAAATTATATACGGCGTACACTTCATTTTTTTAATCAACAGCGTTTATCAATTTTACCAACATTTCCAATCATTAATAATGACAACAATGATTCCGATTTATTGTTATTGGCAAATGTATTTCCTATTCAATTGTCACCCACAGAATCAGCACATCGTCAACAAGGCCAATATAAGCATGCATTTATTATTACAGATCCAAATGCATCAAAAACATCATTTATGGTCCAACAATACCAAATATATTATGTATCCATACTAGAACGTTTCAATGTTGGTTTGCCAATTGTGGATCATAATTATGCACGTTTAAAACATGTTATTGAATTATTTCGTACAGCTCGAATGCGAACACTTCGTACCAATAATAAACGTTTAGAACACACATTATATTTAAAGGATAGCGAAATGCCATTATTATTAGAATTTTATTTACAAATGGATATTGATCTTTTTTATATGAAAACATGTTCATTTCGCGATGCTCAACCAAGATCAAAAACAGAAGGTATATTTTGTGTAACTATACCTGAATGCCGTTATAAAATAACACCATGTGGACATTGTAAATTATGTCGAACACCAGTTGATATGAAATATCGTTCACAAGCACCAATATTATTTAATCGTTATGGGAAACATCAATTTGTTAATCGTTATGAATCAATATTAAATTGTCCAGCAACATGTAATACAACAAATATTATTTATGTTTTAACATGTTTATGTGGTCAATTTGATTATGTCAGTGAAACAGCATATACATTGGCTAAACGTTTCGATGGACATCGTCAACTGGCTAATAAGGCTATATGTAATTTATTACTCGGCAAAGAAAATGTTACAAGTCTCGCAATTAATCAACAATATGCATCATCTTCGTCCGATAAAGAATATATGTTATTGTATCAACATCCAACACAATGTTCAGCAACAATACAAATGTTTTTAGATTACAATAAACTGTATTGGCGATTTGTACCGATGAAAATCGAAGAAGCAAATCAAGATGATGCTAATTATCAAAGAGTATGTACAACAACAGCAACAACAACAACAAAGTCAAATGTTCATTTCGATAGAGAGATTCGAAAATATCTGAAAGATGTACCCAAACCACCAGCTGGTTATAAATTTTCGAAACGTCAAATTGAAAAACAAGCTGAATTTTTTGAAAAATATTGTGTTTCTCCACCAGATAATGAACAAATGGATCTTTATAATGCAAATATTATTGCCGTGTTACCACCAAATACATCAGATTTATTTCGTCAAATTGTTCATTCATTATTTGTTACACATACTGAAGCTAAATTAAATACATTAGGTCATATCTTTGATTTAAATATCAATACAAATATTAGACAAAGTGTTTGGTGTGAAAATTTAGTACGTCGTCCGGTTTCATCTATGTCTCAACGACGTTAAGCAATATTCTTCGTTATATATAGACAAGTATTTTGTAAAGCTTATTTGCATATATTCAAACAAGAAATTTTGCCTTTTTTTCATCATCTTTTTCTTACTTATTTGCATGGTAGAATTTTCTTTTTCAATTTCTTTGATAAATTTAATCTATTCTAAATTTAATCTTGTCGTGAGACACAATTTCGTCTTGTATTTAATCAACAATATTTATTCAAGCATATTGTACCATTTTAGATATCGATATCGGGCATAGATTGAAATGGGTTACAATTTCTTCATCAACTTATGTCTCATTTTATCATGTATCTATGGATTATCCAATGAATTATATCTTGGTATTAATGATATTCATGAAATAGTTAGTACGAATGTATCTAGTAATCTAACCAATGGATATCAACATCAAATGATTTTACAAGAAGTAAAGAACTTATTCGAACAATATCCATGGAAAATCATTAAAAAAGGAAATGATCACCATCGAAAGACATCTGATATTCATTCTCTCCGTATCGATATACAAGTATTACAAAGAATAATCAAAGATCAACGTATGATGATTAGTGATTTAATTGATTATATAAATAATAATTCTGCTAATGTAACATTTATTACTGATGCTATTCATAATCATCATTCACAAGCACGTCGAATCTTAACAACTTGGCGTAATCTGATAGATTTGTTTCTTATTAGTATATTTATTGGATATATTATTTATTTACATTTGTACCGTGTCGGTTTCAATCCATGTATTCTTTTCTTATCATATTTTTCGAAACGTTCTATTGGTCATCCTCACCAACGACAAGAACTTCAAGAACAAGAATTAGGACAAACTCACGCATTGCATGGAAAGAAAGAACCTTATGCATCAGTTATATCAATTGCAGGTGGTACGTTTTAAGTTGAACAATGAATATTTATTCACAAAGACTTTCTTAACAACACTTAAGCTTATTGCATGCGATTTTTCTTTGTTTCTTTCAATGAGATACTTATTTTATTCTTCATAATCCTGAAAAGTCTTTAACTTTTCAATTATCGAATCTAATATTATATTTCTCTTTTTATTCTAGATATATTATTAGATTTATTAATAAACAAAGAAAATGGCTATGAATCATATAAATGCTCGTCTTATTCCACTGCCACAACCAGTCAATATCATCCAGAACTCTTTCGAATCTAAACAATCACACCCTCATCTGAACATGTTAGCATTACATCAATTTCAATCCGTAAAATCATATGAAATCTGTTCTATTCATCGTTTAACATTGATCAGTCATGTTTCCTCTCTTATTCGCGAAACCGATAGAACAACAACATTTTCAATTCACACAACAAGAGCTAATGATGATGGTACAGTTAGTACCATTCAAATTGAATTAATACAAGCAGCAGAAACTAAATCAACTGTTCTCTTATTTGAACTACCACATTTACCAGCTTCAAATACACCGTTATTCAAGGAAATACAAAAATTATTGAATACTATTTTTCATCAATCAAAAAAATTCGTTATTTGGTCCAATAAAAATAGAAAAGATCTTGATGCATTTACTCTTTACGAATTTTTACCTAAGAAAATATTTGAAGTTTCAAATATCATTGAATTACAAGAATCATTCAAACAATGGTACAATCAAACATTTAAACATGATAAGCATTGTTCTGTTCCATCATATTATAAAACTGATGCTGTTTGTTGTACCTGTCCATATCGTCCTTATAAGAATATGAATGATAAATGGTCTCTAGAGAAAGCCATTAATTGTGTTTTTAATGAATTTATTGTTCAATCCAATCAAAATAATAGAAATTATCTACGTGATATCCATCATTCTGTTTGTTATTGTTTAGCTATTACTAAATTATCAATGATAATAGAACTTGATTGGACGATAGAACAATTGTATCAATACAAAAAATTCCATCAAGGTATATCAAACACTTTAACAAACAGTTCGAATTTTATTGATTTTCCTTTAGAATGACGATTTTATATAAAAAATGAACATTTGTTTTTAATTAGATTATCATGCTTAGCTTATATCTTATTGTATCAAATATTTGGTTTCTGTTTCTATTTCTGTTTATTATATGAAAGCTTACCAATTTGCAATAATATTTCTCTCTATCTTGAGCTTTGTTTGTTTCCTTTTTTTTTCATCTAAACATTTGTTTACATTTTTAGATATCTACAGTAGCGCGAAAGATTTTTGGTTCATACAACAATAAATGGCTGATCCACATCAGAATGTTAGTATAATTACCAAAATTTCTTCCTGATATTTGATATATTAAACTATTTTCTATTGCAGTTCGAGAAAGATATTGATCGATTCGATGATATTTTCCATCAATATGGCGATGACATGGATGAAGATAAAGATATAAATGTTGATTTTGATAACCTTTATACAATTTTTGGCAAAGATAATAATAATGACGACGAAAATAAATTGGAAATAGAATTATTAAATGATACCAAGAACATTTTAGTTGATCCAACAGTTGAAGAAGAGGAACATTTATCTCAAAAATTAAGCCAATTATCAGCTATTGATAAAGAGCAAGAAGATATTGATAAATCCAAACGATCAACCATCAAGAAACGACCAACTTTAACACCAAGTACAACAACAGATAACATATCAAAAAAAATGAAACAAAATGAAGAAGAACAATTAAATAGTATAGTGCCAAGATATTTATCAAGTAATAATCAAGCTTTTGAACAAATGATCAATCCTGTACTTCAAAAGACAAGAAGTTCTATCAGTATTGAATATTTACGAGAGATTGCTCTTCTTATTCATCAACTTGCATGCATCGATCTGGACAGATTACTATGGAGTCAATATTTACGTTCTGGTACAGGTATA